CATCAGCAGCACTCTGTAGCACATGTGGTTGGGCCAGTTCATGCCGTCACCCCTGGGTCACACATTCATTCTCAGACTACTGGACACCATTTACCACCCCCCCCTCCACCTCCTGGTCCTGCCCCACATCACCATCCACCACCACCCCATCCTTCTACGGGACTGCAAAGTCTACAAGCACAACACCAGCATGTGGTAAACTCAGCACCCCCACCTCCTCCTCCTCCAGCCAGTGTTCTGGTTTCTGGGCATCATTCAACATCAGGTCAAGCCTTACACCACCCACCTCATCAAGGACCTCCACTTTTTCCTGCAAGTACTCATCCAACTGTCCTACCGTATCCCTCACAAACCACACATCATACCACTTTGGGACCAGGACCCCAACACCAGCCTTCTGGAACAGGGCCACATTGTCCATTACCAGTTGCAGGTCCTCATCATCAGCACCAAGGACCTAACAGTATTCCAACACCTACTGCTTCAGGGTTCTGTCCTCATCCTCATCCTGGCTCTGTGGCCCTGCCACATGGGGTGCAAGGACCTCAGCAGGCATCTCCAGTGCCTGGACAGATTCCAATTCACAGAGCACAGGTGCCACCAACATTTCAAAACAATTACCACGGTTCAGGGTGGCATTAAAATGGACTCTAATAACATTTTTTAAAATGTTCTGTAAGATAAACTGTATATTTCATATGTACCTGTTAAGGTACTTTTTAAAGCTTGTACATGAAACTTTGTATAAAAACAAAAAAGAAAAACAAACACCAGTGCTCTTTCATTGTATTTTTCCCATTTTTGCTTTTAAAATCCCTTAAGAAATGTGCTCTTAAGCCAGTCATAGGCATCTTTATTTTGTAAGTGAACATTCCAGCTGTTTTTCTGGCCATAGATCTGATACTACATGACCTTTAAATTTTATTGTTGCAGTTAATTCATTTTGTGAATATTTTCTATATTATTTTATACATATGCATTAAGTAAGGAAAGCACTATGAGGATTTTCTTCCCTTTTTATGGTCAGCAGTTCTGTGAGTGCATCTTAGGTCTGAAAATGCAATACAGGTTTTTATAATTTGGTGTGGACATGGCTCATTTTGTTTTATCAGTTTTTTGCAAGGAAAATGTAATTTAATGTATAGATAATTTCTAGTGACTCCTGACTGACTTGTAAATACTGCATTTCTTTTGCGTATATAATTGCTTTCAGCTTTTTCCATTTGGTATATAGCATTGTACATATGACAAGTCTTTTGCAAAAGTGTGATCTCTGTGAAAGTAGTACAGTAAGTACAGACCTTTCCTTTTTATTTCAAATATGCTGTTACATTGAAGCACTGGTTGGATATTTTAATTCATGTTAATAAATCACAATTATGTCAGTTTTACTAAATTGTTCTGTACAACTTCTGAGATTGAGGTCTGCTTAATGATTTTACAAAAGTTAACGATTTTTAAATATAATTTGTAAGGAAAGAACCTTCCTTTTTCTTTAGTAATTGCTACCTCAGCTGCTAGGCAGGCTACCAGCAGCAAGTCTGGGTGGTTCCCACAGTCCTTCCTATCATTTGCCTTTACTTGATAGGCATGAGTCACAGGAAATTAAATAGCCAAGCAGTGTGACTTTACTTACCAATAACAATCTAACATCATATGGAATTGCAAAATTAATCCAGATTGTTTATGCATTATGCACCAAGCACTTACACACTGCAATTTACCAGTTTGAAAAGAAGCAATTTACCTAAAACACAGAAAAATTTAATTTGCACACTTTAGAATATCACTGTAATATCCTACTAATAAAACTGATATAAAAATGTAATGTTTAATATCTAGCTTTAGTTTTTGTAAGTTGTAGAAAATATTTCTTTACACAAAACCAAGGGGAAAGGCATTCTGAAATATGTTAAATAGAATGAAGAGTGCCTCAGTGAATATATGACTACTGAAATAAAAATATCCGTTCTGGTTTTTTTCTTTTTTTAATTTCCAGGTTTTGCTGTATACTTCTCAGGAGTATGAAATTTATCAATAGCAGTTACCCTATTTATCAATAACCATAATTTGGCCATAGCACATAAATTTTGTGTCAGAGGAGAAAAGTAAATGTTTAAAGTTACTGGATGAGATCTGGTAGTGACGTAAATCATATTTTATCATTTAATTTCCATTTGAATAGTAGCTACTGACTGTATGTGATTTAGGATTTAATTCTAATCACCTTTAAGTTTCTGAAGACCATATAGGCCAATTTAGCCATCTTTCTTTCCTTTGCAACAGGGTTTCTCTGTGTAGCCCTGGCTGTCCTGGAACTCACTCTGTAGACCACACTGGCCTCAAACTCAAAGAAATCCACCTTCTACCTCCAGAATGCTAGATTAAAGGTGTGCACTACCACTATCCACCTTAGTTTTGCCACCTTTGTCAAAATTCTCCTTAGGATGTTCACTAAAAAAACTGCGTGAAAAATGAAGAGGTTCACATTGTCCCTTCTAACAATTTCAGTCACAGACCAAATCTAGCTAGTAACTCAGAATGAAAGCTCTGTTACCTGAAGGATATTAACCAAATACAATTTTGATGGACACACTCTACCAAACTTTTAATTAATTAAAAGTGTGTGTGTGTGGGGGTGCCGAGGTAGGCAGATGATTATGAGCTCAAGGCCAGTCAGGGTTAAAAGAAAAAATGAAGAAAGAAAATAATTGAACATGTTTCTTAACTCCAGTCAGAAAGCTCTACTTACTACCTTACCTGCCAATAAGCATCCACTGTAAAGGGGATATGAAAAAGCCAAGTAGATCTCACTGAAACTAATGCCCACTTTTTTTTTTTTTTTTTTTTTTTTTTTTTGAGAGTTCTGCCACTTTTCCAGACTACCTACTTCTGAATCTGTTAACCTCATATATATTATCTACTGTTTGTAATTTTCCATGACAATTTCACAGGGTCATTGAACTAAAAATACTGAATTGGTTATACTGTTCTGCATAACCAATGGTTCACCTTTAAGCTTGTATTTTTTTTTTTTTTTAGGTTTTTGACACAGGCTCTCACTATGTAGCCTTGGCTGGCCTGGAACTTACATAAACCCAATTCAGAAATCTACCTGTTGCTCCCTGGGATCAAAGGGTTGCATCATGACATGCAACCTTTATATTTATATTTTGGCAGCATGCTACCAAGAATCTGATATAACCATATGGTACCCAATCACAAATGTGTATTCTTTCTAGAACTTGTGTGCAAGCTAGTTATGGTATTGATAGGAGAACCACCTTAAAATTAATATTCTAGCTTTTCCAACATGAGCTGAAACCACATTAGACAAATTTCATTCAAATAGTAAAAAATCTTTTAGATATAGGGAAGAATACATATAATTTGTGGTTCTTATACAAATGTTTCTATGATGACCAACAACACTGTATAGCCACCATCTATCGTGGAATCTCCATGGAAACCCACAGTCTGATTTAAAAAAAACTCAGCATGCATAGTTTATAAATGAGTAGAACTTTCTACCTCAGAACCGTGTGTGATAATATTAATGGTAACCCCTAAAAGGAGTATGTGTCTTGTCCACTCAGAGTGAAAGATAAGGGGTAGGAGGGAAAAACCGTTGCATTTAGGATGAAACACTGATTTTTAAAAAAGGGACCACCCCCACATTGAAGATAATGAAGCTACCCTAAAGCCTCATTCCTAAAATCCATCCTGCCCTAAAACCACAAGTGATCTCCTGGTAAAATACTTTAATATATGTTTTATATATGTTCTATGACTTCCTTTAGCTTTGCTGACACTGCTGAGAGCAAATGTATGTTGACTCTGTCACTTCAAATACAGGGCAATGACAAAGGCAATGTCTTGAGGGGAAAAAAAAAACCCAAAACACTTTAATTTTTAAAACAAGTGCAAGCACCCACAAACAAAGGATTATTGTTACAACACTTGTGAGCTTTTCACAATCTAATTATTGCAAAGGCAAATTCAAATTGATAAATGTTAATGAACAAAGTCAAGAAAAACGAGGCACCTTAATGGATAAAAATGTTTTTTTTTTTTTTTTTTTTTAAAAAAAGGACATTCAATCCACTGGCTTCTAAGAGGCTAATATACCTCTCTATGTTACATTCTAAAGTTGTATTGCCTACTTATGGTTTGTGTCCTGGATTTTACAATTCATTTTAAGGAAATGCATAAACTAAAACTGCGGCCTGCAAAGGGAAATTTCCTCATTCATGGAAAAAAGAAGGAAAAGGCAAGTAAAACTGCTGTAGCAAGTAAAGCTGCTTATGGGATGAGACATGTTCTGTCCACTGTGTTGTAAACTGCATAAGCCACACCTTGTGTTTTAGACAAACACGATCATGCTTTTCCAAAAATATATTATTTTCATTCCACACACTGAACATATTTCTCTTTTCCAATTTAATCTACATAACTTATAGTGCTGATAAGGGATATTAGGCCATCACATTTTAAGGGGGAATGACTTATTCTTTAAAAGTAGTTTTAAAAATATGCAAAATACAAATGGGACTGCTAGACTACAGTGTCAATTTCTGAGTGAGGAGCAAGTTTTCCTTCCTTTAAAGTGGCACCTAGTCCAGAACCACTTGGACTGTTATGGAATGAAAAGTTTGTGTGACTTCTTGAAGCAGTGGAAATTTGCAACATGCAATGTATGGTAAGAAGCACTCAGGAGGGGTAGCTTTTCTGAATGTGAACCTTTGTCCCCTATTTATGCAAATTAACAGTTATATACAGTATAATACAGGAATGATTTCCCTTTGCCAGAAGAAAAAAAATGTGTATTTCCTTGCTCTTTCTTGGTTCCAACTGATAATTTCTTAAGATTGTAAATTATATAATACTTAGCTAAAATATGTCTTCATAAATAGTTACAAAACCTGCCAACACACAAAGGGTAAAGTACTTTTCGTTCAAAAAAAAAAAAATGACATTTGAATGTCACACAACACAAGAAACAATGCTTAGAGACATGTTATTGTTTCCAGAAGAAAATGGCCAGTAAACTACTTAGCTGAAGACAGAGACTACCCTTCCCCAGGATCATGGTGCCCAGGAAGCAAAGTGTCAAACAGTACCTCAAAGCAAAACAAAGGTCTGAGGGTAGAGCCAGCTCACTTGTGATCCTGTTAAAGAATGAGAGTTTAGGTCCAATGTACTGAGGAAACATTTGCTAGCTCAGAATGCTATATTTGTAGAATCTGCTAAGAATTCAACCAAGGATGTCGAAGGCATTCGCCAGCTGAAGCTCTTTTTTCTGGAACCATCTCTAACATCGGGATCAGGAAATCTGTAAACTGTGCAGCATCTTCTTGGGGCCAGCCATACTTTTCCACAAGTACATCAAAGAGGCTCCAGGGCTTCAGCTTGGTGATATGCCGAAGTTCTCCTGCAGAGAAAGAATCATGCAATCACAAAAAGTCTTATTTGCACATCCCTGAACTAATGGTTCATACAGGCTTTTTTTTTTGCAGGTAATCTAATGCTCAAAACTATAGAAACAACAAAGGATGCTAGCTTTCTCCCCTAAGCAAGACTAATGAAATAATTAATGATTTTGTCCAAGCAAGCTAGGTGGGTGTAAACAGATTTGATTATACAGATCAGCTGTGAGCTTCTTGAGGGTGAACTCACACAGAAAGAAAACCTATATTTCCATCACCTGGGAGTCACTCTCCAGCTTGGGTAAGCTTGCTTAGCAAAACCTGTATGGTGTTTTTCATGTGAAGGCCTTGTGCCCCTAGAACAATGCTAATGGATCTTTCTCCAGTGGTACAGATGTCCTTTTGAACTGTGCTGTCCATTATAGCAGCCACTGGGCTACATGGTCTGACAGGCACAGGTACAAAGTGAGACTAAAGATCATAGTAACTCTAATTTTTCTAAATTTAAATAAACATCCATAAGTAGCTAGTGGTGACCCAAAATAAATGTTATAAAATACATGACACCTCAATGACAAGTTAAAAATTCTCCAATGTGCTACCCGTAGTAGAAAAGTGTCACTACCTCTCAAAGCTAGGAAGCTCTGATGAAGGAAAAAACTAACAGTAAGTAAATTAAGTCCAACTGCTAGGTCACTCACTATGAACAATTCCATCTCTGTGTGTCAGGAAATGTCTACAGACCATCTACTGTTGCATACGAAGTGGCCTTCATGGGCAGCCCTCAGAGTTGGCCTGTGCACCTCCTACACATCCAGGAACAATGCCAACTGACTGCCATGTCTATACCAGGCCTGCAGTGGCACTCTTGCCAGGTGAGTATAGCCCAGCATTTAAGTCCTGGTACTTTACTGGTATCTCTTTCACATGCTGTAGTACCTCCCTAATGCTGTGATCCTTTAATACAGTTTCTTAGGTTGTATTGATATACCATAAAAACTATCTCATTGCTACTTCCTAACTATAATTTTGCTACAGTTATGAACCATAATGTAAATATCTAATATGGAGCATATCCAACATGTACCCCCAAGGTTCAGAAACACTACTGTAGTAGAACCTATGACGTAGAACCTGGACTATTTCACCCACACAAACTCATTTAGAAACACTCTGGCCACCAACTTTGAAACCCTGACAAAAAGAAGATAGTATTACTTACAAATGCAAAACACACACACCAAAAAAAAAAAAAAAAAAAAAAAAAAAACGGCAATCCCACTCCTTTCCCACCACCACCCATTCCCTCTCCTCCCCGCCATCACCGGTGCCCTCTCCTTTCTATACTCTTCAGTGACCACTCCTGGCTATCTACAGAAATACCATCATGCTGTACACAGGATTCCAGAAAGAAACTTTTGGGATGGTTCCTAGTTAAAGAAGGTGAGGTAACAAGCTGATGACCTCGAGGAACAAAGCTAAGTCTTACTGCAATACTGAAGATGAGATCTCTAAATTTAGTAAGGAAATAGAACTGAAGTTTTAGTAGTGGAAAAGGAAGGGCTTCAAATAAAAACCCTTTTGTTTGTAAAAACAAGGTCCAGAGGCTGGTTAAATGGCTCAGTGGGTAAGGGCTCACTACTGAACAAGCCTGAACCAAGTTTGACCACTGGAACTCATATAAAGGAAGGAGAGAAATGACTCTACAAAGTTTTCTCACTTCCACACATGAGCTGTGGCATATGATACCCACACACATCATACATAAATAAAATAATGCAAATTTAGAAGCAAATCTAAACAATCATTAAAGATATATCTCATAAACCCCCAAAAGTGTAGCTCTACAGACATAATAAGATCAGGGTTAGGACGGTGGCTAAAGGCCAAATAACTAAAACATATACACTCGATGAAGTTAAAGCTATGCTCTATAGATAGCCACAGGATTGGCTTAAAAATACAAGAACAAAGGAAGGAAGATCTATGTGAGTTTGAGACCAGCCTGGTCAACAAAGCAAGTGCCAGGACAGGCTTCAAAGCTATACAGAGAAACACACACACACAAAACAAAGAAAAAAAAAAAAAAATCAAAGATGAACATGGAAAGCAGGTACATTAGAACCTAGCTCTCCAGGCAGGCAGCAAACACCTCCCAGGTACATTTTCAGTGGCTTAATCACATTTAGAATGAGGAACAGCTGTCCCTCCCCAACAGTTAAGACTGACTGAAGACACACTCTCATTGTCATTTATTTTTCTTTTCTTTTTTTGAGACAGGGTTCTCACTATGTAGCCAAGACTGAGCTTGAATTGGCAATGTTATGTTTTCCATATTCTCAATGATGGGTACAGATCTGCATTAATGCACACGGCACTCACCTCTACACACAACTCTGAACACAATACAAGAGCTATTCAAACAATTAGATTCTACTCATTGGGGGCAGGGACAAAGAAAACAGTACATACATTTTTTTTTTTTTTTATAAATGTAGTTCTGCTCTGTTGGCTGAATTATTGGATATGGAACAAGAGAAACTAAAAGTTGCACTGTGTCAATGTCTGAAAAAGCACATTTGCAAGTTATACATTCCTGGTTCAAAATCTGAAATTCTGAGCACCATCATGTAAAGAAAGAAAATTACACACTGGATCTCACATAATGTGACATTCATTTGTACATTCACCTGTTTATGAAAAGTTCATGTTTACTTGTGTCCCATCACCAAGATTATCTTATTTATGGAAATATTCCAAAATCTGAGGAAATCAGGAATCCATAAAACTTTTAGTCCCAAGCATTTTGGACAAGGGACATTCTCCTTGTATGATAGAAATTACTTCAAATTTATAGTAATGTCACTGCTTTGAACATACAACTTTGAAATAAGTACCAAAACACTCCTTAAAACCACAGCCAGAGAAACTCAACAGTTAAGAGCACTTGTTGCTCTTGCAGAGGATTCAGTTCTGAGTATCCACATGGTGGTTCACAACCATCTGCAACTCCAATTCCAGGGGACCTGAAGCCTTCTTCTGATCTCTGCAGGCACCAGGCACACATATGGTACACATCAATACATGCAAGAAAAAAACACGCACACACAGACAACAAGTCTTAACAACAAATAAAACCACCTAAAATCATCTGCACAGCCTATGGCAAATGCTTTGCTACCAGGAACATGCACCATTACATGCATACCCATCTTCTATTGCCTCAGTGGTCTTTGTCCTTTTCAAGACTGTGTGAGCAAGAGAAGGGTGCTATAGCGTCACACTAGAACTTCTCTAGGCTTTTTTTGTCTATTTGTTTTCTTTCTGCTCTTAATTGTTTGAGTCAACCTCACACAGAAAACATCAAGGAAAGATCATGTCCAGTCTCCCAGAGTCACTCCTTAAATTTCCAACTGTGACACCCATATTCTGTGCAGCTGTAAAACTGGAATGACTGGAAAGACTTTTGAGTCTTTAAAAACCTGAAAGCTAGAAAGCTGAATAGAATACTGTCAGTATGAAGCTTGTCAGCTCCAGCATGAAGGAGCCTGTGCCCACAGCCTGTGCTCCTCACAGTTCTCACAGGTCAGCCTACTTCTCAGGGATCCCTGGAGGCTAACTTAAAAACATCTTTGAGTTTTAGCTCAAATATTTAAAGATACCAAATATGAGGTAGATCAATACAACCCTTATTAGAGTATGAGGCCAACCTGAGATGTATACAGGTTGTGGTAGTTTATTTCTTTTAAAACTCCCCTCCCTCACTATCAGAGTGATAAGATGTTGGTCCCAACATCAAGATGTATGTTGTTGTATGGAAACTTCTTTACTGCACTTCTGACCTATTCAGTTGAATTTCATTAAGTCTTTAAAAAATTTTTAACATTTTTTTTTTCTTCTGTGTATGAATGTTTGCTTGCATGCATATCTGTGCACCACTTGTGTCCCTGGAGCTCATGGAAGCTGAAAGAGGGTATTGAATTCTCTGGAACTTGAGTTACAGACAGTTGTGAGCCACCATGTGGGTGCTGAGAATTAAACCTAGGTCATCTGCAAGAAACACACAGCAAATTCTGGTTTCTTAATGGTATCAATAGGTAATATTCACACCCAAGAAAATAACCAACAAATTAACGATATGTTGAATAACCACATTGCTTGTCCCAAAATCCAGTTCAGTTTTTAACCTCTGACCAAGGAGTAATTCAAACTAGTACTATACAAACTTGTTCTATAATCAGAACAAGACACTGGGCAGCTGCATCTGATGCTTGATGTTAACACATAAACCCCACTCTCCTCCTCAGACCAGGTGGAAGCCTGCTTATTCAGAACAAAGAAGAGAAAAGGATTCCTAGCAAATGATTCATGGAAAGATGGCTCAAAGAAGAACAATAACAATTTTATATTTTGTTTTTGTCTTAATTATAGAATGTTACAAAAATAGAATGAATAGAAATTGTATATTAGGCATAGTGGTATATATAGTGTTATATGCCTTTAATCCCAACCCTTGGGAGAAAGAGGGGCGTGGGAAGTCAGGAGTGTGAGGCTAGCTGGGTCTACAAAGCCTATTATTTAAAATCAAAACAAAATAATTTCCTCATGAAAGACATACTTTCATGACAGGTATTCACTCCTCCTACTATTACTGTACATCTGTCAAAGTCCAAACCTCTTCTGATTGCCATAACGATTACAACCAACCAACCACCAAAAAGGAGGCTGTAAACCCAAACTCCTGGTCATCTTAAAGGATTCCTGGCCTCATTACAGTCTCTCATGTCTAAAAGAAGGGAAAAAGCATTCTAGTTACCACAGTAACACCAAATCATAATGGTTTTGGTCTCCCATTAAAAAGAATGTTAAGGACACAGCATGGTGGTACAAGCCTGTAATTCCATCATCTGGGAGACTGAGGCTGGAGGATCAAGAATTAAAAGCCAGGAACTACAGATATGTTTCAGTGGTTGAGTACTTGTTACTCTTACAGAGTTCCCAGACTTGATTTCTAGTACTCATATGGCAGCTTATAACCATCCATAACTCCAAACACAGAACTTCTGATGCCCTCTTCTGACTTCCCTATATACCAGGCACACATGTAGTGTATACAGGAAGCAAAACATTGCATAAAATATACACAAAATAAATCTTAAAAAGAAGACCAGTGAAACTTTGTTTTTTTTTAATCTGAGATAGACAGAGGGTGGGAACACAGAAGAATGTACACTAGCTTTCTCTTTGCAAATCACTTTCAAACAAGTGGTTCAAAAAGAACACAAGCACTTAAGTCCTAATGCACAAGTGCTACAGATGGTTGTAGACATACCATGCCCACACATGTCCTAGAAGCAAGGACATGTGAAATGTGCCTATAGTCAAGAAAGCCACAAGACAAGTACATCTCCTGGGAACCATGGGTCTGAACACCTCAGTTTAGACAGCATCCTTTGAGGTGAACTCTTCCAAATGAGTAAGAAGATGTGCCATTGCTGCTGTTAGTTCTAGAATGGCATTCAATAGATATTGAATGAATGGCTTACAGCTCCAGGCCAGCTGCAAAACCTAAGGAGCCTAAGAGCACAGCTGGACATGGTGACACATGCCTATGGTTCTAGTCCTGGGAAATACAGTGGAATACTCCTTTACACTGTGTGAATATATGTCACAGTGATTGGTTTAATAAACAAGCTAACTGGACAATAGCTGAACAGGCTATAGCTAGGTGAGAAAGTCAAACTAAGAATGATGGGAGGGGCAGAGGCAGAGGCAGAGGGAGCAGGAGATGAACATGCCATGTTAATAAAGGCACTATCATGTGGCAGAGTATAAATAAGAAATATGGGAATAACTAAAAAAGAGCTAGTTAGTAATAAGCCTGAGCTATTGTCTAAGGATTTACAATTAATATAAGCTACTGTATGGTGATTTGGAAACGGTTCCCGGGACAGGAAAACTCTACCTACAGGGAATGATGAGGCTAGAGGATCAGGAGATCAAGACTCTGTCTTAAGGAAAAAACAAAAACAAACAAACAAACAAAAAAAAAACAAAATTGTGTTTGGGGGTAGTTTAGCTAGAGAGATGACTCAGTAGTTAAAGAACACTGGCTGCTCTTCCAATGTTCAGTTCTCAATACCCATGTGCCAGGGCCCATAAAAAATGGTTTTGATTCATCTTGGCTTAAGGTCAGAGAGTTCAAAAGTATCCTTACTCTTCCAAGGTTAAAGTCATAAAACCTAAAAGTCTAAGGTGTGGCAACTGTAGGATATTTGGTCTTGGTCATGGATATCTTATCTAAATAACAAGAGACTTGGTCTAAAGTGTGGTTACTCAACCCTCAAGGCCACATAATGAGAGATTTAGTCTAAGACGTGGTTATTAAATGTTTGTGGTTACTAAATGTTTTAAGAATTAAGTTTCTTCCTTGTATCATGATAAAGAAGTCCTTTGATATTACCCTTTTTGGTTGGGATATATAATGTTGAAGAATAAACCTGGAGCATTTGGTATTCACTGGATTGCCCTCCTGCTTCTATCCTGTGCCTCTGCTTTTTCTTAACAACTTTACCTGCCCTTTCTAAAGTCACACTTCCCCTTTTCAGGTATGAACCAGGCAAGTTGGCTGGATCTAACGGAAGCCCCACAAAGTCAGATTGCTATAGACTGATGCCACAATGTGGGGCTACTATATAGATAAGCTAATACACACATGGCAGCTCACAACCATCTGTAACTCCAATCCCAAGGTATCTGATGCTTCTATAGGTACTATGTACACATGGTGTACAGACTGTAGGCAAAACACTAATACATACAAAATAACTAAGAGAGAGAGAAAGAAGCTACTCAGATGGCTGACTTAGCAGGTAAAAAGGCTTGAGAAATTTGGCCCTAGGAATCACATTAATAAAAGGAGACAAGAAACTGCAAAAGTGTCTTCTGATGTCCCCGTAGGTACTATGTCACCTATGACCTCCCCAATGAGTACATACATAAATATACTTTAAAGAGAAAGATGGGGGGGGGGGAAGGAAGGGGAGTTAAAAATGAAACAACTTAGACTGGACTTTCCATGTTCTACTCAAGCTGAGAGAGAGAGAGAGAGTATACACATACATACATACATACATACACATACATACATACACACGTGTATATATATACACATATACATGTATATGTGTATATATATGTGAGTGGAGGGGCCAGAGGACAACCAAGGGTGTTGCTTCTTAGGAGCTCTTATCTTTTTTAGAGTTCAGTCTCTCACTGGGGCCTGGGGCTTCGCATTACATGGCCAGCTGGCTAGATCCTCAGGGCTCTAGAGCGCAGTGTTCTTAGCACCTAGATTACAAATGTATATACTAACACACCTGGCTCTTTTAAGTACTAGGTTTGAAATCAGCTCCTCAAGCTTGTACAGCAAACACTTTACCCATTAGCTTTTCCCCAGTCCTCAAGCAAACTGTCTTTAAAGGAGGATATAAACAAAACTAAACCTAAGCTGTTAAAAAACAACACCACCAAATAGGTTCAAAAGACAACAGCACCTAGGAAGGATTTTTGTAGATCTCATGTAAACCATGCTAACCTCTAATGTTCTATGTAGCTGAGGATAACCCTGAATCCCCCACCTTTCTACCTCCACCTCCCAAGCACTAAGATTAAAGATTCCTAGCTTTTTCTGAGGATTCTTTTTTTTTTTTTTTTTTTTTTAGTGTGAGGGGAGATCCTTGGGGCTTTTAGGTATTTTTAAGTGTTGATACTGTCTAGGAACTACAAATGACAATTATTCAGAGTCAGTGAGAATGACATCATTAAAATCAATAACTGTCTAACACAATAGCTCAGAAAACTGTATCTGGTTATGTCCACAGGCTTTTACAGGCCTACACAATGCCAAAAGCTCAGACATATCCAAGAAATGTCCATACCTATTTATGAAACCCATCACTAAGCTGTCTTTGTTACCAATAAAAAGAGAGAAGTCTAACTTTGTAATCTAGGCTGGCCTTGGATTCTTGATTCTCTAACTTCAGCCTCCTGAGTGCTGGTATTACAGATATGAGCCATCACATCCAGCTGAATCTAGCTCTTTTCCAAAACTCACTAGAAGTCCTTCGTCAAATATTTGAATACATAGTGTGTAGAGTGGAGTCAACAGGTAGAGGATTGAGAAAGGAATGCAGGGAGCCTGTTTTCTCACAAAATTCTTATTCCACAGATACCAGATCGTTCCAGATTATTTTATGAGTATCTTCTTCAGCAGAATTCCCCAGTTGCAAAGTCTTGATTTTTTTCCACTGCTCAAACATGAATGCACAATTTCTCCTTTTGGGAGAGAATTATGCTGAAAATTAGTGTTGCGTAAATCCCGTTACCTTTTCTGGTGAAAAACTCCTTGGAATATTTCCCCAACATAGCGTATTTTCGAGGGACTTTCCCCAGCAGTTCAATGATCAATGCTATGTGATCTGCATTGGGAAACATTGCCAGCAAAACAGAAACACATGACAGTTTAATCAGTACACTGCATGCAGACACTATCACTGCCCGCGCAGACAGAAACGGAGCGCGACCTGAATGACCAAAGACAGCTTTTGTCCAGCTGATTCAGAACTCAAAACTACAGGGCACCCAGCTGTCCTGAACACCTAGAAGGGGCCAATGTACAGTGACCAGCACAGGCCACACTCAGTCTTCTTTCAGCATCTGCATCAGCACAGGCTCTCTGCTCAGCTGCTTTTGGAATTTAGAAGGAAGGCCTTTGGTCGCCATGAATGCTGCTCCTGCAGCTATTCCATTTCTGTCTGCATCATGGCGCTTTTCAAAGAGAAGAGGTACTACCTCTGCGATTGAAGAATTCCCGAGAATATTTTCCAGACAGGGCAAAGTGCCTTGGGATACTGCCTAGCAGCTCTATGATGTGGGCTATGTGGTCTATGAGGAGAAAGAGAGAAAAGAAAACAAACAAAACAAACAAACAAAAAAATATAGGAAAGGGGAAGGATGGGATAAAAGAAGAGGGGAAAAGTGAAATTAGTAAAAAATCAGAAATAGATTCAAAACAACAATGTCTGCAGCACAACCATGCAGAGGTTCATGGGACTGGCAGGCCTCAGACACCAACTGGAGTACCACCAGCTCCCCACAAGCTACCCCAGCATTGCAAGCAAGGAAGCATGGAAATGGTCAGGTTTACACAAGGAATTCAAGTCTGAATTCCCTGGTTTTCAACTGATCTCCCAAACAAAGGAACCACATTGGCCCTTAGGGCTCAGGAACTGGTTCTCACCCACCTCCTCCCAGAAGACCAGGAAAACTGTGTCAGCTGGGTGCTGCCCATTCACTGGCACTGAGGGAACTTCAAACTCAAAGGAAAAGCGTCTGAATTTGGTGTTTGAAAACCAAAACCTGGGTTCATTTCAGTAAAGCAACACAATACTCTCTAGGAGTTGAGGAGGAGCAGAACCACATCAAGGCAACAATACTCACCTTCATCTCTGGAATAGTCTTCCCCAGAATGCGGTTCAAACAAATAGTCTCCAGTTGCCAGCTCAAATGCCTAGGACACAACAGATGACATTCTAAGCACTTCAAAGATGGATCAAGAGCCAGCAGCTCTCTATTAGAGGAAGCCTACATTTGTAGAGGACCACAAGCAGACCAAAGACCATCCCTGAACAGCTCAACCCCTAGTTTCCTTTCTTCCAAAAATGATCACAGAAGCTTCAGGGATATTTTTACATGTCTCTAATGGGAGAAGGAAAGGTCACAGCTCTCATTATACTGTGGGAAGTAGAATTCAGGATCTTTTGGGGCTAGCAGGCCCCTTGAGATCCCTTACAGGGTCCAGTCAAGACTACAGCCAGGAAAGAAAAAAAATAACTAAGGGGATCAGCAGCAGCACTGGTCACTGTACACTACAGCTTTTACACAGTGAAATGAGGTTATACTCAGACCTCAAGCAGGCCTGTGTGAGTCTAAGGCCCCTTAGAGCATATATTGCTATGCTTTCTTCATGAACTTAGGATCAAGGACTAGTTCCAGCATCTGGGTCATCATAAGCTACTCATCTCTTATTCAAGCAGAGGTGCACCTAGAACCAAGAGTCCTTTCCCTCTTTTACCAGATGCAGCAAATCCCCCTGCAGGCCTTCCTTAGATGACAGGGGACACCACTCCTCACCCTGCTACATACTATCTCTTAGAACATCATTATGAAGAGAAGCCCACTCATTTCTACTTCCTTTGCTCATTAAAAAAAGGCTCAGGACCGTGAGTCTAATTTTGTAAGATGCGCAAAGACAGCAATTGCTATCGTGTTGAAGAACAATTTTTTTTTTTTTAAGGTTAACTCCCATTTCTAGTTTCTCCCAGATTTAATGCTACTGTGGTAGCCCTTCCTGCTTGCTGATGCTTGTGAATAGGTGACCATGCCAACACCTCTTCTTTTTATGAGACCGCTTTTCCCATTCCTGCTGAAGAGCCATCCCTGAGGGCTGCTCCAACTTTAGTCATCCTCTCTCTCTCCCTTCTAATGGCCAGAGTGCTGAGAAGGCTCCTTGAGGATCATTTACCAGGTAACAGCTGTCTAACTAACAGAGCAGCCACTTGTCCTTGAGACATGAATCACATCTTGATTGAGAAGGAGATAACAAAACTATGATCAGCTGTCTCTGTGATAAGTACAACTCAGGACACCTGTCCTGAAGCAGACTTGGGTCTAAGAGGACACTGCATAGTCATCTCAGCATTACAGATGCAACAAGGATAGAAGCACAGTGCGCAGAGGCTCTCCGTTGGGCCTCACACCTAGCCATCCAATTACAAAAGCATGGCAGTAGAACCAATCTCTGATAAAGAAATCTTTTCATTTTGCCCCAATTCCAAGTAGATGAGAATGTTTCATGGTAGTAAAATAAGTCAATAACCTGCAAACCAGAAGGGAAATTTGGAAATTCTAGAAGCCACTGGGATTCTGGTTCCAAGGAAAACCTTCCATGTGCTTTAGCCCCTCTTGAGTCTTGTGCTCACCCTTTTCATTCTCTTTGCCCAACATTGAGATTACCAGATAGATGTCCTTTATAAGATGATTAATTTGAACAGCACTCAGGTTTCCAATGTAGTGCTTAAAAGAAGGCTATCAATGAAACAATTATAAAAAAAAATACAAGAGGGTGGGGCTGGAGAGATGGCTTGGGATTAAGAGTACTGGCTGCTCTTCCAGAGGACCACGGTTCAGTTCCCAGCACCCACATGGTAGGCTCACAACTGTCTGTACCTCCAGTTCCAGAGAATCTGATATTCTCTTCTGGCCTCCATGGAATCTGCCTGCAAGTGGTATACAGATATACAAAAAGCACCCATACACATAAAATAAAAATAAATCTTTTTTTAAGAGAGAGAGAGAGGGAGAGAGGGAGAGAGGGAGAGAGAGAGAGAGAGAGAGAGAGAGAGAGAGAGAGAGAGAGAGAGAGAGAGAGAGAGAGAATTAAAAAAAGAGAAAGGGAGAATGGTTCCCTAGATAGTGTGATTAGCTTTCTTAACAACAGGGCAAATTCAAATGATAATGAAAAAGCTGGCCCCTTTTTGGTTACAAAAATGTTTTAATGCTAGCAGCTGTGGAAACAGGCAACATTATTGCTACCTACTGACTAAGCTATTCTCTATGGCAAGTTCTATTGTTAGTATTCAATATTAGACAACTCTGGAGTCTCTTTCTGTTCTCTGGGTCCTATCTGTTCTCAGTTCTGGGGATGCTTAGAGCTAGAGGTTTTTGTCAGTCCAGTGGCTGTTCAAAGGAACAAGCCATAGAGGAGGAAGCAAATACACGTGACACTGACATGTAAAACTTCTTTCTATGCTCTAACTAAAAAAGGTCATGCCATGCCCAGTGCTCAGTAAGTCTGAAGAAATTTGTCAGAATTAAGTTTTGGTTATTTCATTCTGCTCATAACCAGGACTCACCAGGGAGACACAAGAGCTCTCCTATTTGGACAAGAACACCTATGCACAAAGAGACAACACTCAGCACACAGACTTCATGTTGATGAGTGCTACACATTTACACTCATAAGAGGGTAAAAGCCATGAACTGACAGATCCTGCTGCCATTCTTGGTTGTACCTGTCCAGCTATAAAGTCCAAACTCTCCTCCCAACAGCAGCTGAGGTCCCCATCACCACCTACAACCTCGTTTCCAATGTTAGTTATAACAGCTGTAAAATAGAAAGGGCTATGAATTCTATGTATGGCCTTATCAATGCTGGGCATTAATTAGGAGGGCAAATTTAAACTTCAGAGGTGGGGGGTTTGGGTGAGACGGGAGCAAGCACGGACACCCACTGGTTTGTTCTCTAGGAAGAACAAGTAACCTTAGTCACAACCTTGCAGGGAGGGAACAAAGGCTTGTTCCTTTGAAAAGTACCCATATCTCAGCCACTAGACTGAAATAAATCTCTAAGTAACCCCAGCAGCACTGAGATCAGAAGCAGTCTCTTGAAAGGAGACAAAAGGAGACAGAATACATCCCCTTGTCATCCCATGATGTATTCAACTACAAACACTGTTTACAATAAGAACATGGTAAGTGGGCAGAAGACAACATAGAGTACAGGAAAAAATCTTATGGGAGTAAACTAACAGCTCAACTTTTATCCACATACCTGTGATGCCCTGTTTATCTGGTTCATATCATCAAATTTAACATCCAAAGTTAGAAACTTATATCCAAAATTTGAAGCATAAGATCTCAGGGTTCAAAGAGTTCTCAGAGCCTGACCCACAGCATCCTAGGCACACGGCCTTCTGTATTGCTGAGGACAAACAGAAATTGGCCTTTCCACAGCCTGAAATGGGAGACACATACTGCCCAAGCACATACAGCCCATCCTTTCAAGGAGCTCTATTTCTCAATGACTTTAGCCTCCACTTCCCACTACCCTCACACTGCAAAGCAAAGGCCTCTCCAAACACATCCTCAAGAGCAAGGAACTAGCACAGGGATGGTAGCTTCTTGCAAACACTAAAAACTGGATTTTAGGTTCTTTTTGAAAAACAAAAGTTTTTAATAATTTTAAATTTATTTTCTGTAATTACTACAACAAGAAAGAGTCTAGGAAGGCATGGTGTTTCATGTCTGGCCAGGGCACATCAATCATTTCAGATAGTGATAACTACTTGAAAGATGAAAAGCATCTCATGTTTCTCATATCACCCAGCATCATCTGCTTAACAAAATGCTTTTTACATTGGACTGGGGAGATTGCTCAGCAGTTAAGAGTATGTGTTGCTATTGCAGAGGACCCAGGACCAGCAGAGGACCCATGGCAGCTCTGTGGTAACACTAGTCGCATGGGATGAGACACTCTCTTTTGACCTCCACAGGCACCATGCATGCATAATAGCACATACATACATACATACATACATACATACATACATACATTTGTGGGTGCATGCATGTGTGTGCGTGTGTGCATGTGGTTTTTCAAGGCAGGGTTTCTTTGTCTAGCCTTGGCTGTCCTGGAACTGACAGAGATTCACCTGTCTCTGCCTCCCAAGGGCTGGGACTAAAGGTGTTTGTGCCACCACACCTAGCCAAAAATTTTTAAATGGTTAATATCAGCACTGGATGTAAAATGCAGAAGTTTCAAGACAATGATTAAATTAAGTTCTGAACAACAGGTAGCCATCATATTTATCCTGTTTCCTCCTCCCTCCCTTTCAGAAGGTGAGCACTAAGCCTTGCACAGGAACCCTTTCACTCAGCTATCCAAAGAGAATTTCTTTAAAAAGCTAGTACAAGATCTGAGGACATGAATCAACTGTAAGAATACGTGGCTAGTGGGCATGAACCTCTGGGCTGTATCCTAGGACTAAATACACTAACCTTAATACTATAGGATAAGCATGGTAGCACTGGAAGCTCCACGAACACACATGCCACCTTTTCTACCAAACAACAACAAAAAGCCCGCTGAGAAAAATGTGCTGAACTGGCTGGATACTCAATAAAAGACAAACTGGTATTAGCTCATAGGTGAGGGACTACTCATGCTTACCAATTCACAAATTAGAGCAAATGGCAACAAGATGCACAAAAGACTAGTAACAGTAGCTATGTCAGTAATCTCGGCACTCAGGAAGATGAGTTTTGAGACCAGTCTGGACTACATTTCAAAAATGGAGCAAATAAAAAGATGTTGAGCTGAAGTAATGGCTCAGTTGTTAAAGTGTCTGCCATGCAAGCCATGAGTTTGATCTCCAGAACTCACAGAAAGGCCAGGCATGGCAGCACAGGCTTGTAAACCATTATTAGAAAGGAAGACACAAAAGAGCCCTGGGGCTCATTGCCAGCCAGCCTAACCAAATCAAGAGCTCTAGAAAAATGAGATAGAAAATGAGAAAACAAGATGGGTGGCTGAAGAATAACACCCAAGTATGACCTCTGTCCTCTACATGCATGTGTACACGCAGCTACATACACATGTGTACCTGTGTGCATGATGTGTGATGAGTCTGGGTTTAGCTTACAAAGACAAAAACTTAGAATGTCCAAGTCAAAGGGATATTCCTGCTGCCTCCAGGAAAGCATCACTGTGTTGTGGAGAAACAGACTCAAGCTAAGGGAGTCTATACCATCAATGCTGTCTCAGAAGAGCCAGTACATGCCAAAAACAAGGAAGAACTCTCTCTGCATCTGAGTTAGAAAAAAAAAAAAAAAAAAACTGTGCACTAGCAGATGGAAAAATCTCAAGAGTCAGAACCTCTGGACGAGGCCACCTTCCAGTGGTACAAACTTAAGTACAGTCACCCTGCTCCTGTGAGAAGGGCTTTGACTTTACCTTATAATGTAACAGGGAGCCTGAAACACATGAAAACTTCCAGAGACTAAAAGCAATTCCTCGAATGAAGTGTGATTCTTGGGGCATAGGGCTTCACGGAGCCCAAAGAAGAGACCACCTGTCACAAGACTATACCTCAAACACATCTGAGAATTCTTCCAATGCTTACAATACCCAGGCACAATCTCATCCGCCCCCATTTTAGATAATGCACATCTTCAGCAAGACTGTACCCCATCAAGAAGATTCATTTCCAGGGAAGAAGAGTGTCAAAGGTATTCTTACCATGCAAGCTGTACTCCAGATGTCTGCAGGTGTGCTGTAGCCAGCTCCTATCAGAACCTCTATGGACCTATACTGACGTGTCTGGATGTCCTCTGTGAAATGTTTATGCTGGAAAGGAATAAAGGTGATATATATTGTTTTTTGTTTGTTTGTTTGTTTGTTTTTTTAGAAAAAACATCTTCTCTTACAATATCATGATTAAAATGTAGAAAGAAAACTCTACTTACCACCCAACAAGCATTTCCCAGGTCAGCAATTTTAACTCTGACTTTATCTGCATTCCGTGGATCCAGAGGGTTCACCAATAGGTCAGCTGCCCGGGTTTTTGCTGCCATGCACAAGCAGCAAGATAGTTAGCAAAAGGGACAAGAGGTTTGCATGTGTGAACACAATGTTTGCCATGTACAGCCTCTAGGATAAGCCTAGAATCCTGCAGGTTGAACCACTGGTGAAACACTAAAACCACATAAAGACAAACACAGGTAACCAACTGCTACTGAGCACTATGTAGTTCACCAATGCCATGCAATCATGAATACCACCTCAACACTGAGATCATACCCTACTCCAGCTTCCTCAACTGAACACTCAAAAACATCATGGTTAGATGACAACTGATTAGCAAATTTAGATTATAGGCAAGGGTTAATCTTTTATGGCTTGGTTTTTGGACAGGAAGATGCAAACCAGTGTTCTGACAAGTTGAGGAGGGCCATTGTCAGCTCAGATAACTCAACTTTAGGATGACCCATCCAGAAGGAGTCTCTACAGCAGGCCTAGGATCAGGGTTACTGGCTTCAGAAAAGTTCTCAGCTAACCCATAACTATGCTGAAAGTAGTTATGGGACGATCAGCACGTTCAACTTTGTACTTAATCTGAGCCCTTACATGCTCAGGGTTTTTGGTCATTTTGAAATGAAATCTATAGTCTAAACAGAAAACTCAACTCACTGCAGAACATTAATGTCAGTGTTGGGGAGTCATTTTGTTCATGCCAAGTTGATGCTTGTGTGAACTAAGCTGCTTTAGTGAGTACTGAACTGAGGAACTACAGTGCTTGAGGGGGTTCAGTCTATTGGTAAACCCCATAGAGGAAGAAAGGCCAGACTTCTAATAGCAGGGCAGACTGTAGTAGGGTACCAAGACCTAAACCATCCAGATAATCCAGAGGAAGGCTACAGTCTCAACTCTGGCCACTGAACTCTCATGTGAATCAGCTTGGGCCAGACAGGCAGAAAGGTTTTCTTCTTGATACTTGCATTATGCCTACATCCCTGAGTAAAGATGGCTACTCAGAGTGGGTCTTATCAAAGAATAGATAGGAGCTAAGGAAAAGAGGAGGAGAAGACCACGACGACGACGACCACCACCACCACCACCACCACCACCACCACCACCACCCACAGAAATTCAGAAAATAACAATATTGAAAGAAGCAGAATAACTTAAAAGAGAAGGCAAAATGTGGAAAAGAGTAAGAACACTGTTGGTTCATGATAAGCACAGTATACTGACCAACAGATAGATGAGTGACTAGATAAGACACACCTCATATTACCCCCCCCCCACACACACACACTGCCAGTGTCAAGAACAGTTCTGTTTAATTTTATCCAAATCAGTTTCATACCTGTGAATTGTAAGCCTAGCAAATGACAAATTCATTGAGATTGTTTTCAGAAAAGAATGAAAAGGAACAATTTCTGCCCCCAAAGAAAATACAATACACACATATTCAAGTCAGAACGGTATCTGGCTGATTGGCCAAGACTTGATTTTGCTTTAGGGTCAATGAGTGAGCAGGCACCTGAAGAAGCTACACAGATATTCAGTGCTAGACTTGATACTAGGGAGCTGGGTTGGCAGATGTCAAGGTACCAGGGAAGCAGGTAATTCATAATCTACTAATCTCTCCTTGTGGTTATCTTTAAAGACACCTCCAAAAGCTGTATGATTCAAGTGAATTGAAGGAAATTGACTGAAGACAACATTACCATGTGTTTAAACACAGCTTACTCACTAAACTAAATCTGGTAACACTCTATTATCCTCTAGTTCCAGGGTGTCTTAAACAATCATAGGTAATTTATTTTAATAACTTAATTGTATAAGTACACAACAGGATGTATATATACTGCGTGTCTCTCTGATTTTCTTTCTCAAATGTGCCAGTTTTCATATGAGGGGAGAGACCTGACTGCAGCACACAAAAAGCCCACATGAACACAAATGTACTCACGCCTGCTACAAACTCATTCTTAAGTGTGCCTGGACTCACACTGCTTCCGTATATTTATTTAGTCACTCACAGTGACTTGTCATACCTTGTCTTTCTGATGATGCTAAACACAGATGACTTACTGGCACTCTCTGACTTCTGAAATGAAAATCTGCTAACTTTCCTCTGCCTCTAACCAGAGCATGAATAAAAATGTCAGGTTTTTTAAGGAGGTACTGGTATTTTTAAGCCACTTTCTCAAAATCTGATCTCTCTTGTCTAGCAATATAGTAGGTGATGAGACAGCTGCCAGTCCTGTGCTATGCACTACATGTTCAAAAACATCCTAAAATAAAGGCAAAAACAGTCTCTCTCTCTCTCTCTAAATGAGGGTCAGAAATAGAACAAAGAAAGTGGCAGAACTGTAACAATTAATGGCAATATCTGACCCATTCCTTTGACAAACACTTACCAAGGCCCATTATGGTGCCAGGACACAGTAAAAAGAAACACTAGAATTAGCAAATTCAGCTGCACGTTGGTGGTTCATGCCTTTAATCCCAGCACTCGGGAGGTAGAGGCAGGCAGATCTCTGTGAGTTCGAGACCAGCCTGGTCTACAAGAGCTAGTTCCAGGACAGCCTTGAAAACTACAGAGAAACCCTCTTGAAAAACAAAACAAAACAAACAAACAAAACAGAATTAGCAAACTCATGTCATATACTGGTTGGAAATACAGCCAGTAATAACCAGGCAGTGGTTACTCACACCTTTAATCCCAGCACTCTGGAGGCATTTCGAGGCCAGCCTGGCCTACAGAGTGAATTCCAGGATAGCCAGGGCTACAGAGAGAAACCTGATCTCAAAATAAATAAATAAAATAAAAAAAAGGGGGGGATGATGGAGAAGGCGATAATGTAAGCATAGAAACAATTCATATTAACATTTCAGAAAACCAGATATGCAACAAAGAAAAACAAAACTAAGAGAGATGGCTGAGAAAGTGATACTGAAAATTTTTTTTCTCTTTTTACATTTTACATTTATATACTGTAGAGGGAGGTCACACAAATATCTGTGTATTTGTGCACATGGACCACATGAAGAATTAGGAACAAGATAATTAGTCTCATTAGCATGATGTAAAACTCTAGGAGAAACCTGGAAGACTAATATGGAGGGAAGTCAGGAATGGCAGGTGGAGACAATACACAGAAATAAAGCCGAGAAATGATCTGTCCCTTAGGGCCAAGGCGAGGAGAATCCTACTTTGAGAAGGGGCTGGCAAGGGTGTCCTGGTTTTCTTCTACTGCTATAATAAAGCACTGAACAAACCAACTTGGAAGAATAAAGGGGTTTTATGGCTTATAATTCTATATTACAGACCATAATTGAGGGAAGTCAGGGTAGGAATTCAAGTAGGAACCCAGAGCAGAAACCGAAGCAAAGACCATAGAGGAATGCTGCTTACTGACTTATTCCACAAAGTTTGCTCAACTTTCTAATACTGCCCAGGGGTGGCATCACCCACAGTAAGATTAGCCATCTCACATCAATCTAATTAAGAAAATGTTCCACAGATGTCCCACAGACATGCCCATAGGACAATTTGACTAAGCAATTTTCAACTAAGGTTCCTTCTTCCAAGGAGACTTGTTTGTGTCAAATTTACAAAAACCTCCATACAGGGTGTATGGAAAAGATGGGACAATCAACACAATACGGGCATGTTGTAGCTAAGATCTATAGCAGACCTGCACACTGTGAGTCACTCTTGCTGCTGTGACTCAGTAGTTATTGAATGAATGAACAGGGATTGAGCCAAAGGAACAACAAAGCAAGCGGAAACTGCAAATGAGAAAGGCAGGGGCTACTGCGGGGAGATGGATGGTGGGGCCCAATTATGAGTTACTCCCCTCAGTCCAAGATAAAACTAACTCTCTCACAGTGTGCAAGTGCTCTTTATATGAAACTATGAGTTTTCAGTTAAACTAACTTCCTACAATGGGGTTTTAGATTTTGCCTAAATTAGAACCCTTCTTTATTCACTCACTACAAATGATAAAAAAGATGGAGGACGTAGAGAGAAGATGCCAGCTCTCTCCAGTAAGATAAGACCATGAGGAAGTACTTAAATTAATAGAAATGGGTTAATATTTAAGACAGAGCTAGCTGATAAGAAATTAATACCTGGTCAACAGCATTATATCAAATACAAAGTCTCTGTGTGTTAACTGGGGCTGGCGTGGCGGTGGGACCAGACCTGCGAAAAACCTTACTCCTAACATATGGCGCTGCAATGTGGCTAATAAGAACTTAAAACTCAGAAAAGCTAATAAAAATGGTTTTAGAAACAAAAGAACAAAGACAGGCATGTTTCTCAGTTAAATTGTTTTGCTAGAGACAAGCAGAGATTTGCACAGCTCTTTTAAGGGAGATTTCCTGACTCAGCATAAGCCGCAAAAAACTGCACAGCTTTTAAGAAGCACTGCTATCAATTCATTGGTGTGTACGAGAGCTAGCAATGGCAGTGACCACATCTCCAAGCCGGCAACATGCTGCTGAATGGCAGCATAGACCAAGGCAGGGAGCACAGCTCTCAGTTCTGGCGGTAAAATAGCCGCCGCAATCTTGAATAGACTGCAGCTAAAACTGTGGATTTCATTTTAGCAATGTTGTTGTTTACCAGATAAAAGACTCATGGCAAGAAAAAGATAAAGATTTATAGTAAAGACAGATTCACATTAAGAAAAAGCTAAAGGTTTACAGTGTGTTTTAAAATATACATAGGCTTAGGAGAGAAAAAGAATAAAATGGTTTGTTTTAAAAAGACAGAGAGAGAGGAGCTAGGTGTGGTGGCACTTGCCTTTAATCCCAACACTCAGGAGACAGAGGCAAGCAAATCTCTGTGATTGCAAAGTAAATCTGGTATGCAGAGTGAATTCTAGGACAGAGAAAAGTTACACAGAGAAACCCTGTCTCAAAAAAAGAAAAAATAGAAGTAAAAGAAACAGAGTAATAAAAAGCCATGTAAAGATGAGGAGAATCTGGATACTGTAAGGTATTATATTGTCTTTGTATCGTTTGACTACTGAGAAAATAACAACTGTTAAAACAAATGCTGTTGGACCAATCCAATTTATATATTTTAAAAATGCTTTGACTTCAAAATTTAAGTCTAAGGACAAGTTACTGGGGAAAATGACTTGTATTTATGTTTCCACAGAAAATGAAAAGCTGGGTTTCTTCCAGACTAATGTGATTTGATCAAGCCAGACCCCCTGAAATAGCATTCCAGGTGATCCAACATTTAAAACAGCTGGGACAAGCCAGTCATGCAGACTACAACCAGGATTTCTTCATCTTCTTAGGATCCCCATGACAGCGTCCCCTACCAGCAGGAAGCAGTTTGGAGAGAATGACACCCAAATTCCCAAATATTGTTTATAAGTGTTTGTTTTCATTTAAATAGGGTTAGTTATAAATGGTTAATGACCACAACCAATATCTTTTTAAAGGTAAAAAGAGGATTATTGTATAGATATGAATATTTTGGAATGGATTTTTATTTATTGATACAACTTAAGGTCAATTTTGTAATATGTATATTTCTCCTTTTGTTTAGGTATTGTGTTTATATAGCTCATTTAGAAACGTGTAATTCAATACACATTATAGATAGTACCAATGATAGTCAGATCTTATAGTTAAGTTAGTTAAGATTACTAGATATACAGACATGTATTTGAGATAAATAGGCATTCTTCAAACTTTTCAAAGATCTACAGAATATGGCATTTAAAATGGTTTAGGGCTTTTCTTGACAGCGAGACATAAATGCTCCTGGCAACACCACCTGCATCAAAAAGGAAGATGGACATTGAAGAAACTCGTTATGGAGTTTACTTTCAATATGGCAAGGCTAGCCATTTGGGCAAGATATTGCTCTTGTTTGGACTGTTTGACTTTATGCTATATAAACTGAACATGCAGGACACACAGGAAAGTGACTGCTGATTCAAGATGGACATTGCTACAGTTCCTGCTTCATGGAAGCGTCTGCCAGACAGTTTGCAGGACACAGAGAAAAGTGACTGACAAACTACCAATACAGGTAGACAGTTTAAACTTTCCTGCTTTGCTGAAGAGTCTGCCAGACACACTATGGCCTATGGGCTGAAGATGGAAGATTACAGAAGAACTTCAGGTGATTGACCAGGCAGTAAGTTGTCTCTGTCATTCTAGAATTTATGTATTATCCTTCTGTGGTCTTTGATGGAGTTGAAGACAGATAGTTATGGTTATAGTTCATTAGTTAGGATTAAAGATAAGTTACATATATGACTTTAGACTCAGGAAGATAGGATAAATGATGAAATATTTCTTTAAATCTTACTAAATGTTAATGGACTAAATATTGTTAACTGTGATTCTTATTTGATAAGTGTTGTGTGATATATTTTGCTATGTTAAGGTTAAAACCCTTCTTTTTTTTTTTCAGACAGAAAAGAGGAGGTGATGGGAGATATTATTCTATAAATATGTTTCTCATACTGGTTAATGAATAAAGCACTGTTGGCCAATAGGAAAGCAAGATAGGCGGGACTAGGAGACAAGGAAGATTTGAGGAAGTAGTAGGAAGGAGTCAACATTGGAGAGACTGGAGAGAGCAGAACCGCTGGCCCCCTCTTGAGACCACGTGGAAATACTTAGATTAATAGAAATGGGTTAATACTTAAGACAGAGCTAGCCAATAAGAAATAAGTAACAGGCCAACAGCATAATATCAAATACAGCGTCTCTGTATGTTATTTGGGGCTGGTGCAGCTGTGGGACTGGCGGCGGGGAAAACCTACTCGTAACATTTTCATAAGCATTTTTCTTTTCTTTTCAAGCCTTAACCTATACCTACCTACCCTACGTTATTATTCATGAATGAATAATAATGTGGTAACTGAAATAAAACAAGGAACTAAGACCCATGAGGTATTAGCAAGACTATGCTGAACTGTGATGAGGGATGTCCTTCTGTATATATATTTCTCTTACTGGTTGATGAATAAAACACTGATTGGCCAATACAGGCAGGAAGATAGAAGAGGTGAGGAGAATGATGGACAGAGAGGCCACCATGAGTTGCCATGTAGAGACTGGAAAGATAGGATGCACCAGGCATTCTCTGGTAAGATAAGGCCATGTGTAGAAATACATAGATTAGTAGTTATGGGTTAATAATTAAGAGAGAGCTAGCAAGTGAGAAGCCCTATCCATTGGCCAACAGTTTAATAATTAATATATCTCTTCTGTACTTATTTGGGGATGACATGGGGAGACAGAAACCTCCATCTTAAGAGTTGTCCACTGTGCGTGGGCCTCAGATACTACCAATGTGGCATAGCAGTAAAAAGTATGCCTTTTAGGAGACTTTAAACAACCAAAATATATGTATTGACTTTTTTCACACAATTTAATATATAGCATTTTCTTCAACAGTAACAACACTAAATGTGATCATCACTTCCCTTTAATAGAAGAAATTGAGGCACAAAGAGGCTAAGAAACTGAAGTCCCATGACTTAGGTTCTAGGATTCAATTTCCTATATTTAAAGGCACTGTTATAAACTATCATGCAAAAAATAACATTAGCTATTGAATGAAGAATTTTGTATATGAATGTGTAAATGTGTGAATTTCAAGCTGCAACAAAAACAGTAAAAGCAGAGAAGATACAAGTCACTAGTGTCATTGCCCAGAAATGAAGCTGTATCTATTCTATGTGAACTCTACCACTCCTTGGACAGACCAAGAGTGGGCAAAGCACAAACAAGGACAGTCAATTACAACTAGTGAGGAACAAAGGGGCTGGCCTGTTGGAACTTAAGGAGGCTTCAGAGTCTTTTGCCTACTTATTGGGCTGGCTCAATTACTTGCCATGTGTTAAAAACACTATTGGCAGTAGAGGGCAGAGGAGGATTCTGAACTTTTCCATCAATGGTCATAATGGGCATCATCTAATGATATCCAGTTATCCTTCCTTAAGTTATTCAGCAATTAGCTACATGGCATTTTCTCCCAAAATATGAGTCTGAAGATAGGGCCCCAGGTAGACAAGAAACTAAAAAGATGCCAAAAGCAGAATTCTATAAACAAGGACAACTATTGAATAAAACTCAATTTGTCTGTTGGTATAGCTAAAAACTGGCAGGTGTTCCCTTGAATAGAAACAAAACCCAAAGATACTACTACTACTAACAACTACCACCATCACCAGCAGCAGCAACAACAGCAGCTAGAAAATAGTTACATTTAGAAAGCTACGAGGTTGTTAGTGAAGAAGGTGTTTCAGTATTTGACATCACTGACTATATAATCATTGAAAAATGTCCAGGGTTAGAATTTCACAGTAAGAGAAACCCTGGCAGCACATGATACATTTCTAAAGCTTTATTCTTGAATATGAAAGTATTGAAATTAAAGGATTAGTGCATATTTAAATGTCTCTTCCCATTCAGCCAACTCCTTTCACAGTGTTTATCAAAGGTATGACTCTGCTCAGTAAGAACAGAGAGAGATGCAAGGACACTTACTTTTTGGCAAATCTCCAGTACTAGAGGCTGAAACTGTCCTGCTTCTGTCATGGGATGGGCTACTTTCCTCTTGCTCAGTAAGTGGTGATCCCTCTGAAAGCACAGAGCCACAGGCCACAGGTTCTAAGGGCCCAGAAAACAAGGATGTGGAAAACTCTGGACTCTTATGTTGTCCATTTGGCATTTCACCATTGAACTGTTCACAGGAGCTGCCATATGTATAATCGCTCTCTGCATTTGGCTCATCTAGGTTATATTCCTCAGGATTTCCACAGTCATCTTCATCATCCTCTTCATCCTCCAGTTGCTGTTCCAATAAAATTGGACCATTTTCAATATGGCCATTGGCTTTAGGGGGTTCTATCCATGTAGGGTCTATGTTTGCAAGTTCCTGTTCAACATCATCTTCATCCTTCTCAGCATTTTCCTTCTCTGCATCTTCCTTTTCTTCCTGGTCTTCAGCTTCACCTTAACAAACATGCGGACATGGGGTTAAGATTAGGAGTCACGACTCTCCTTGTACAGTAGTACTAGTTAGCTTCTTCAACAAGAGACACTTTGCTTTTTGTTTTGTTTTTGTTTTTTGTTTTTTTGTTTTTGTTTTTCCAAACAGGGTTTCTCTGTGTAGCTCTGGCTGATCTGAAACTCCCTTTGTAGACCATACTGGCCTCTAAATTAAGAGATTCACCTGCCTCTGCCTCTGCCTCTGCCTCTCCCTCCTAAATGCTAGGATTAAAGGTGTATGCTATCATGCCCAGCTAATAGAAGATTCTAATATACCAAAGAACATGTCTATTGGTTTTTCAAGGCAAAATGGCTTTCTAAATCTTTTCTACTTATTTAATAATTAGCCCTCTATTTTCAGAAACAAGTTATCTCTTGGGATAAAATGCTGAGTAGAACTGGACTTTCATTTCAAGCCCTCCCCACAGCTTTTCTCAAAGATGTTTACTGTACCTGATCTTTAAAAATTTCATTGTAAATTGTGTGTATGTGTGTGTACATGCTTATGGTCTTGGAGGCCAGAGGCATCTGAGCTCCTCAGAGCTGGAGTCACAATTAGTTGTGAGCAATAGGACACCAGTGGTGCTGGGAACAGAACTTGGTTCCTCTGCAAGAATACTGATCCTTTTGTTTGTTTGTTTGTTTGTTTGCTTTGTTAAAGCCTTTCCTATACAGATTTAGAATAAGATTTGTGGTGCATTAAAGCTAGGCAAAAGGTTAATCACAAAATAAAAAAATGTTCGTCATTAACAGGATAAAAATATGTTTCTTGGACTTCCTTCTTCCCTTTTTGAAAACCTACTTTGAAATGCTAACATAATGCCTAGCAGACATTTTAAAGATGGTGTGTAGGCTGCTTCCCATAATCTCCAGCGAGGAGTTAGAGAAAGTTGTCCTTAACATCTAAGGCAGTGGTACACTGGCTGGGCCCTTTGTGCAGTTCCAGGACACCTACCCATTAGCTCTCCCTTCTGCTCCCAGTTGTACTAACCATTATCCTTTGCTCTCTCTCCTTCAGCCGCCTCCTCTAATGTTGCTTCCTTTAGTTTCACTTCTGGGTGATACCCATCATCTTGCTCATTGGATAGTACAGCAGCAGTAATGTTTTCCTCTATGGTTTTTCTTTCAGCTTCTCGCTCCAATTCCTCAATCTCCTGCAGGCGTTTCTCCAGCAACTCAGCCTGCCTCTTCTGTTTCTTTTTCAGCTTCTTCTTTTTGTTTTTAGATATTTTTCCCATCTACAACATGGTAAGAAAGTATCACAGGTCAGGTGCCTCTTCTTAAAACACTATTTAGAAGTATAAGTGCTGGCAAATTCCAACTCTGCTTTTTCAAATCATACTCGGTTATAGTCACAAACTCAGCCAGAAGATCTACCTTAGGATAAGACTGTGCTCATACTGTTGGTCTTCCCCTTGAAGGGGCATAACTTCCATTAGAAAGTCTAGAACTGAGCATCTTGAGCAAGAATCTCCTGCAATCTTTCTTTACTACTGCCTATATCCAGAATCATTCTCACTACTTAATAACAAAAACAAACACCTACCAAGACAGGTGGCCAATAGCACTGTCTGCATTTGGCTCTTAATACCAAGCTGTGATTGACAGGCAATATAACATGAACTTTCAGGAATAAACATATAAGACAAAAAGACAAAAAAAGAAAAGCCACAGTTTTGTCGACCTCCAGTTACAGCCATATGTCTTGGAAAATACTGGCAATGAGTGCCTTTAAAGTTTCATAGACCCATAAGCCCAAATCCTTAAATCAGGAGTGAACTGATTTGGATTTTCTGGCTACAATTCATCAGACTTGAAATTCTCTTCTAAGAGAAGAGGTTCACAGAATAAATAATGCTCACTTACACAGCTAACTATAAAAAATTAAAAGGGTTTTGGCAAATAAGATACTTGGAGGCCAAGTAGAATTAATTTTAAAAAGGTTCTTTTAAACTTGATCTAAAACCTTGCAAATCAGTGAACCTGGCCACTTGCAGCCCAGAGAGCAAGAAGAGACTGGTCTTGCAGTAGCTTTAACTATTCCCATCCATTGCAAGAAGTCAAGCTTTTTCAGGGGGAGGGGGAAAACAGCATTTATAAACATGGCAACTTCTAAATTAATAAAGATTAGAACATTTGCTACATAATTTGTGAAGCTCAATAGTGAACAGTCCCTTTTGATATGCTGAATATACATGTAAAATACTTACAGGTTTTTGTTGTGGAGCTGTACTCACTAAAACAAAACAAAACAAAACAACATGGGTATTCAGAGGAAAACAGGTACCTTTGGACAATCTGATTTGCAAAATGAAACAATACTGTCTACCCACCTCCAAAAACCTAACCCTTTGAGGTTTCTAAAAAATCTATATAATGCAAACACAGGACTGACTCTTAGGGCACAGGAGAAGCTATTGTCCTCAAAATAGCCTCTCTGAAAGCACTGACTGAAAGATTGAGAAAATGGAGGAAAGAAGGGAAAAGAACTGGAAGACGAGTTTATAAATCTGTCATAGAATGACATGTGTCTTATAAATGAGGCAATGAACATTCTAGATGAGAATACATACAGCTATGTTTGAAAACAACTTGGAAACATCATACAACTAAGTTAAGTCACACAGTGCAGCACACAGCAGCAATCACTCTGGAAGTCAGCCTTACAAGCATCAAAACATTTGTAAATTGGTTGCATAAGCTAATAACATCATAATGGCATATGAGATGAGGTGAAAGCAACCTCTCTGAAGTTCCTGTCAGTCATCAGACCTTTAGCCCTTTAGTATGCACATCTGGTGATCAGGGCAATGTGATTACCCTGAAAGCACGGCCAGCAATTCACTGCCACCAATGAATTCTATGAAATTCAGAAGAAAAACTATGCTAATGCTCAAGTGACCTGGTCCCCTTTCCCACTCCCCACCCCTTGATCTTTCACAGCTAATACCAAATGCATCAGTTAAACTGAGGTGGATCCAACTTAAGAAAAGAGTTTTATGAAACCTAAATCAGAAAAATGTCTGCAGGTAGGCTACAAGACACAAGTTATATTTTCTACAAGAGACTTCAACAACACAATGACATGTTCCTCATGATGAATCAACAGCTAAGAATTTAGGTTGTCTTTTAGTAAAGGACAAGGGTAAGGTAGTATAAACAATTAAGTAAAAAATAATTAGTTATAACATCTTATTGAAAAAGTTATTTTCAGCAACCAAACTCTTAGAAAAAGTTCCTAATACGTACACATCAAACTTAACTGTCTTCAATATATAACTTTGAAAGCTCACAGCCCCTAAGCAGACTGAAGCAATGAGGGCTTAGCTCCCTCACCTGCAGACCCAGAAGGAGGAGGAGCACCTGCTTTCTGCCACTCAGTAGCCTCGGCTGCCATTCTTCGCACATATGCATCATCTACACACATCAAGATGTTTTCTGGCTTTATGTCGGTATGAATTATCTTGCATTTACTGTGTAGATAATCTAACCCTTGAAGTACCTGGTCACAGTAAAGTAAGAAAAGAAAGAACTTATTAGAACTTTTATTACATAACTTATTTAGTCACAAAATATGAATTTTTCCACATATTCCCATATATAAACTAGAATACAATTTTATAGGCACAGATGGATGTTTACTTTTTAAAAAAGACTTTCAACCAATGTGCATCATTTTAGATCTATTTTATGCTCATAGACACAAATGAATCCCTCCACACATCTTTAACAGCAACTTTATACAAAATAAGTTCAAGCCTTGACAGATGGCGTAATGGTATATAAAGCTCTGTCAGAGGACCTGGGTTCAGCTGCTTGCTTGCACATGTGACTCACAACTGTCTCTAACTCCAGTCCCAGGAGACTCAGTGTCACCTTCTCACCTCTACAGGCACAAGGCACACACACTGCACATGAGGCAAAATACTCATACATACAAAATAAAAATGAACAATCTTTAAAATTTTTCAAATCTCCACATGTGATTAACTGTTTTAAATTAAATGCACAAGTCTGCTTTATAGATTGCAACATCACTATCTGATTCAGAACATTTTCATCACTAAAGAAATCCCATACTCTGAGCAGTAATCTCCTCCCTCCCTCCAACTCCTAACCACTTAGTCATGTGTCTGATTCTATCGTGTGTGTGTGTGTGTGTGTGTGTGTGTGTGTGTGTGTGTGTTTATTTGGGCAAACATGAGATGTGCATGCACTTATATGCACATGTGTGGACGGCAGTGGTCAAAAGCAGGTACATTCCTCAAAAATACCTATCTTTACCTTTTTATTTGTTTTTAAATAAACAAAACAAAACAAAACACTGGTTTCTTTTACTGAACTTGGCACTTACCATTTTGGTTTGAATGGCTAGCCTGGGCAACAAGACTTCAGGGTCTTCTTGGCTTTGACTCACCAGTACTGGGATCACAGACACACATCATATACCAGGTCTTTTATATATAAGGGTAGTATGAATTTGAACTCAGGCCCTTAAGCCTATACAAGCCCTTTACCAAATGAGCCACCACCCTAGCCCCAAAGTGCTCTTTTGTAAATAGCATAATGATTAAGGCTCATGTTGAATAAGCATGAGTCAGTACATTGGCTGAACCAACGTACAGTTCCACAGCTGTGTATATAGTGCCAATTTCCTTCATGTTCTACCAAAACTATCATCTTTTTTATTTTTCCTACTCTATTGGGAATGAAACTATATTTCATTATTGTTGAGTTTAGCTGCTTTTCAAAAAGGATTTTGTTTTATGTTTGATATTGAGACAGGGCCTTACTATGTTGCTAAGGTTACTCGAACTTTCAAGCTCAAGGAAACCTCTCACCTTATGTTTATTTTCAACACTGCAGAAAAGGAAGATTTAATTTTTTAAAATACCCTTAGTTTTAATACAACACTATTAAAAAATAAATAAATTGGGTATGGCAGTGCACTCCTGTAATAACACTCAAGAAATTAAATTCCTGACACTAAAGTCATGATGACCAGGAGATTATGTATCTTCAGCTACTTATTGGGTCCTTGGCTACATGAGACCCCATGCAAGCTTTAATCTCTGCACTTGGGATGAAGAGGCAGGAGGATCTCTGTGAGTTCAAAGCCAACCTGATCTACTGAGCGAGTTCTAGCACAGCCTCCAAAGCCACAGAGAAACCCTGTCTCCAAAAACAAAACAAACAAAAATTCACTAAATGAAAATACTTAAAACAGACCAAACTTTCTATAGTGCCAATGACAATGTTTTCTGGAATTATTTCCACTGGAGAATAATCCTTAAAATAATTTCCAAATTAAAAACTTATTTTTAAAATGTTTCTACAAATCAGAAATTTTCAAAAGCTATTAACACCATCATTCAGACCTCTTGTTTATAAGATACAGGAAGTCTGGTGTGGGGCTGAAGACTCAGGGAGCAATGAGGAAGAAGAGCTGCAGTATGGGGAGGGTGCTGTAAAACATTGTCTTCTGGGCAGGTACAGTGCTGTTCCTGCCCTCAACATCCCAGCATAGGTGAAAATAGGCAATTGATGGCTGCTAGAGGAACAAAAGTTATTTCTCTTCTGGTGCACAGTCACTGGGAAATGGCCCATTACACAGTAAATCACGGCACACCAAAGCACATACTAACAATCCTAATTAACTCTGTGGGTGTTTTTTTGTTGTTGTTTTTTAAATGACAAGAGAATAGAAGGAGAATGTGTTGGGAAGAAGTATTCTAGAGTGCACAGGAAGTGGCTAAGAAGAGAACACTTTGTAGACCAGGCTGGCCTCAAACTCAGAGATCTGCCTGCTTCTGCCTGCCTAGTGCTAGGATTAAAGTTGTACACCACCGTTGCTTGACAGTTGTTTATTCTTTAAATGCTTATATTTGTGTATTTCTCTGGAATTCTAAACAATTCTCAAAAACTGTTGACTATGGCCCACAATTGTATTAACTACTCAAGAACTAAGTAATTTACTTCAAACCATACAAGGTGATAAGAATTTAATAGTCCAAGAAAACTATTAGCTAAGAGAACTGGCTGAGAGAGAACTGGCTCTGGTAGAAAAGAAATTACAGGATGCACAAGTAGATTGCTTAGATTCACACCTCGATGATATTCTGGTTATTTTATCTATCTTCTACTCATTGTCTTACAGGATCTCCCCTCCCCCCCCACACCCCCAGACAGGTTTTCTCTTTAGCTTTGAAGTCTGTCCTGGAACTAGTTCTTGTAGATTAGGCTGGTCTTGAAGTCACAGAGATCCTCTTGCCTCTGCCTCCCGTGTGCTGGGATCAAAGGCATGTGCCCCTCACCTGGATCCTACAAGAATTCTTATGCAGAGAGAAGATAATATCTTAGAATGGTTATTTTTACTACACAAAGTAAAAATTTAAAGACAAGGTTTCTGAATTGATTCTGAAAGGGAAATGGAGACTTAATCAATTAGCAGGAATAGACCCAATTGAAATTGTGGTACCTTTTACCAAGGCAGAAAATGAATATTGGTAAAGAGCTTGCAGTGATTTCTTGGGAGAGATTAGCAACAAATACCCTAAAAGGAAGAGACTTCAGGCTATAAAAAAGGACTAAATGGATTCTCCCTTACATCAATAAAGGGAACACTAATTTCTGGAGGTCCTACATTCTATACTGATGCAAATAAATCAGAACAGGCAGGTTATAAGACAGGAAAATTAAAATGACTCAAAGCCCTTATGATTCTGTCCAAAAGTCAGAATTACATACTATTCTCACGGTGTTAATGGATTTTACAGAACCTCTCAACATAGTAATTTACAATATGCAGAGTTGTTTTGCATATTGAAACTGCTGAATTTATACCAGCTGATACAGAATTGACTTTATTATTTATTCAGCTATACAAAATAATCATCTACAAGAATAGGAATCATCCCATATATACACATAACATATCTGATCCCATAGGGGTATGGCAGCCAGGACATCTAGCACAAGGTAATGATGAAATTGATCAGCTATCAGTAGAAAATGTGCAAGAAGCCTTAGAATCTCACAAGAAACACCATGTCAACAGTATAGTTTGAAGAAAGATTTTTCTATTGTTGGCAAAAAAAAAAAAAAAAAATCAAACAAATTATATTCTTTATATAATCAAACTCTATTACCTGCAGCAAAGGTATTCAAACAAATGAAATTTGGCAAATGGGTATTGCTTCATTTTGCAGAGTTTGGAAACCATACTATAGATACAAATTCCAGAATTCAATGGGCAACTACTTTGAGTTCTGAAAAGCTGATTTTGCAATCACACATTCGTTAGAGGTTATGGCCATCATGGAAATACCTGTACAGATTAAGACCAACAGTGATCCAGCATAAGTCTTTAGTAAAATGAAACAGTTATGTGTGTGTTACATGTATATAAAGCATATTACAGATATACCATATAATCCTACAGGATAAGCAGTTATAGAAAGAACAAATGTAACTCTAAAGAATATGCTTAATAAACAGAAGGGTAATAAAGAGTATCAAAGATAGATTAGACAACCCTTTATTGACTTTAAAATTTTTAAATACTAATGAACAAGGAACAATGGCTGTGGAGAGATACTGGATAATAGAAAAAAAAAAAAACTGCTGAATTAAATCAGCTTGTATATTTTAAAGAAGTGTTGACCTCAGAATGGAAACTAGGATATGTGCTACATTGGGGAAGAGGTTTTGCTTTTGTTTCCACAGGAGAAAAAACACTATGGATACCATCAAGAATGATAAAGATTTAGATTCAAACAGGAGAGACCTCTTAATTAGAAGACTCAATAGTTCACCAAACAGTTTGGTCATTCAATCCAAACTTGTAAGACTAAATAACACCTTTTATTTGATCAGATAAGGAAAGGAATTATAATTAAAAGACAATACTTTCTTCCCAAAAAGCATTTTATCTTAACAAAGATATAACCTGCCAAAAACGAACCTCCAAAGTTAGAGTTGAGGAATGGTTTTGTTCTTTTTTTTCCAGGAGATTAAAAGCACCCAATTAAGGAATCCAAAGACCACTGGACAAAGGAATCATCTGGAGAAGGACAAATCATCCAGACAAAAATGTCCCAAGAAAAAGAGTAAAAGTGGCCTAATGGTATAGCACAAATCTTTCCAAATATTTGTTTCTGTTGCTCTCTACAAATGATCTGTTTGTGGAATTCAACCACAATTAAAAATCAAAGCTAGTTTTGGAGTGTGATCTTAACCTGACTATTAAAGAAAAATCAAATATGTCTGTCTCATCTCAGAAGAACAACCTGATATGCAACAGAAGAAAACCAAAATTAAGGGACTATTCTATTGCCATTAAGGTATAAATATTATCTCTAAATTTATAAGATTTGTGTGTATGCATATATATATATACACATATATATGTATTTAAACTGTCTGTCATATTAATGGTCATGTAGAGAGTTAACTAATTCTAGAAATAGGTTTCTCCTAGTTTCCTGTACTCAGCCTTAAGTC